TTCTCATTCTGTACTCTGAGTCTATCACCTCTCTGTCAAGAGATGGATAGTGTGTTTTATCATGAACACTCTAGAATTGTGGTTAGTCATTGCATTGATCAGAGTTCCTAAGTTTTTCTAAGTTGTTTGTTTTTACATTATTGTTATTACATAACTTGTTCTCCTGGTTCTGCTAATTTCACTGCATCAGCTCATACAAATCTAACTAGGTTTCTCTGAAATCATCCCCTTCATAATTTCTTATTGCACAATAATATTCCATCACATTCATATACCATAATTTGTTCAACCATTCCGCAATTGATGGGCAGTTCCTAATTTCTAAAACAACTGCTATAAAGTCGATTTCAGAAAAACCTGGAAAGACTTACACGAACTGATGCAAAGTGAAGTGAGCAGAACAAGAAGAGCATTGTATATGGTAACAATAACATTGTGTGACGATTAATTATGAATAATTTAGCTCTTTTCAACAATAAATGATCCAAGATAATTCCAAAGGACTCATGATAGAAAATGCTATCCATATCCAGAGAAAGAACCGATGTCATCTGAATGCAAATTGAAGCATACTATTTTCACTTTATTTTTTTATGATAATTTTCCTTTTGTTCTGTTTCTTCTCTCATAACATATGTTTTAAATGATTGCACATATATAATATAAAATTGCTTACTATTTTAGAGAAGGGAGAGGGGAGAGAAGGAAGGAGAAAATTTGGAACTCAAAAATTTTAAAAAATGAATGTTAAAATCATCTTTACATGTAATTGGAAAAAATAAAATGCTATTTGTGAAAAACAGAGAACTGCCATAACTATTTTTGTATATGTGGGCCATTTTCCTCTTTCTTTGATTTCTTTGCAGTATAGACCTAGTGACAATATTGCTGGGTTGAAGGGTATGCACAATTTAATAACTTTTTGGCCACAGTTCTGAACTGCTTTCCAGGATAGTTGGTCCAGCTTACAATTGCACCAACAGTGCATTAATGCGCCTGTTTTCCCACAGTCCCTCTGATATTTGTCATTTTCCTTTTTTATTATCTTTGCCAGTCAAATGGGTGTGTCACTGATGAGTCTTCATGTAGATTTTTTTTGTATTAAGTAATTTTCAAAAAATAAAAAGCATTTCAGAATGGGTCCAGGGAACATATAATTACACACTGATAGAATATTAGCTGGAAGGAACCTAAGGAGTCATTCTGAGCAAATTTTGTTATTTTTATAGGTGAGGAAACTGAGGCCCAAAGAGTTTAGGTGACTTGCCCATGGCCATACAAGTAATAACTAGCAGAGCTATTATCAATTTACAATTATTATCCTAATCTCAGATTCATAATTGATACTTTAATACTGAAATACTGAAAGATGAGTTTGGCCAATATGGGTAGTATTCATCCCTGCTTTATAAATGGTCCATAGGAGTTGCTGTGGTCAAACCATTCATCATGTAGTGGCAAACCCTCTGGTGATGAGCTCCCCTTACTTAATCACCTTGGTTCTCAGATGAGAGGCCCATTGTGTGTCACCTGGCTGTAGAGTCCATCTCAATACAAAGTATCAGAACTTGTGCTCTGCTATCCTAGCCTGTAAGAAACCAAAGTCACCCCCCATCTTGATGAGGCATTAGTGGAAGACTTTAGTGGATGAGTAAAAGACTGCATTATGTATATTCTTGTTATTTCCTCAAAACAGTAAACCTAACACAGTGCCTTGTACATAATAGTCATTGGCATATATACGCACACATACATATATGTGTATATGTGTATACACATATATACACAATTTAAAGCACTACAAATGTGTATATATATATATATATATATATATATATATGCACTTAAAGTACTATGTAGCTACATAGACATGTATCTATATGCGTGCATATAATGGTATATATATGTATATATGTACACACATATGTATATATGTATGTATCTATGCACATATGTGTATATCTATATATACATAGATTTAAGAACCGCAAAATGCTTTACTTTAATCATTTCATTTGAACCTTGCAACCACCTTGTGAAGAAAGTAATACAAGTTGATCTAAAAGTCTTAGTGCCATTAAAGCTATTAAAACTTAAAATTGCACTAAGTTTGGGATATCCTGCATAGCTATTATTCTTTTAAATTTAATATTTTTATTGTTTCTTTAATTAAATGTAAAAACAATTTTAAACGTTTTTAAAATTTTCCGAAGTTTAAAAAGTTCCAAATTTTCTTACTTCTTCCCCTCCCCCACCCAAAGAGATGGCAAGTAACTTGAGATAGGTTATATATATGTGCAGTCATACAAAACCTATTTCTATGTCGGTTATATTGTGAAAGAAAACGCAGACCGAAACAGCCCCCACAAGAAAAATAAAGTTAAAAAAAAGTATGCTTCCCTCTGCATTTAGACTCCATCAACTCTTTCTCTGGAGATGGATAGCGTTATTCATCATAAATCCTTTTGGAATTTTCTTGGATTATTGTATTGCTGAGAATAGTTAAGTCATTCACAGTTGAGTAGCGTATAATATTGCTGTTACTGTGTGTGTACGATGTTCTCTGGGTTCTGTTCACTTCACTCAGCATCAGTTCATGTGAATCTTTTTTAAAAAAATTAATTAACTAACTAACTAATTAATTAATTAATTATTTTTTAGTTTTCAAGATTCACTTCTGTAAGATTTTGAGTTCTAAATTTTCTTCCCCTCCCTCCTCTCCTCTCTGTCCAAGATAGCAGGCAATCTGCTATAACCTCTACATATACATTCATATTAAACATATTTTCATGTTAGTCATGTTGTAAAGAAAAATTAGAACCAATGGGGGGAACCATAAGAAAGAAGAAATTTTTTAAAAAAAGAGAGTGAGAGAACAAATAGTATGATTCAATCTGCATTCAGTCTCTTAGTTCTTTTTCTGCATGTGGATGGCATTTTCCATCATGAGTTTTTTGCACTTGTCTCAGACCCTTGCATTGCTGAGAAGAGCTATCTGTCAAAGTTAGTCATCGCACAATGTTGCTGTTACTGTGTACAATGTGCTTCTAGTTCTGCTCACTTCACTCAGCATCAGTTCGTATAAGTCTTTCCAGGTTTTCTTGAAATCTGCCTGCTCATCATTTCTTATGGAACAATAGTATTCCATTACATTCATATACCACAACTTGCTCAGGCATTCCCCAATTGATGTGCGTCCCCTCAATTTCCAATTCTTGGCCACCACAAAAAGATCTGCTATATGCATTTTTGTACAGTGGGTCCTTTTCCTGTTTTTATGATCTCTTTGGGATACAGACCTAGAAGTGGTATGGCTGGGTTGAAGGGTATGCACAGTTTTATAGCTGTTTCGGCATAATTCAAATTGCTCTCCAGAATGGTTGGAAGAGTTCACAACTTCACCAACAATGCATTAGTGTTCCAATTTTCCCACATCTTCTTCAACATTTATCATTCTACTGTTTTGTCATGTTAGCCAATCTAATAGATATGTGGTACCAATTGTTTTGATTTGCATTTCTCTCATCAATATTGATTTAGAGTATTTTTTCATATGACTATAGATAACTTTAATTTCTTCCTCTGAAAACTGCCTGGTTCATATACTCTGACCATTTATCAATTGAGGAATGACTTGTATTCTTATAAATTTGACTCAGTTCTTTATATAGTTTAGAAATAAGGCCTTTATCAGAGACACTGTTCGTAAAAATTGTTTCCCAACTTTCTGCTTCCTGGCTAATCTTCATTGCATTGGCTTTGTTTGTGCAAAACCTTTTCAATTTAATGTAATCAAAATTATCCATTTTGCATTTCATAATGTTCTCGGTCTCTCTTTTTTTGTCATAAATTCTTCTGTTCTCCATAAATCTGACAGGTAAACTATTCCTTGCTCTCCTAGTTTGCTTATAGTATCAGCCTTTATATCTAAATTGTGTACTCATTTTGACTTTATCTTGGTATATGCTATAAGATGTTGGTCTATGCCATATATAGTTATTATTCTACCCATTTTACAGACAAATAAAAAAAGTAAGGGACTTTCAAGAGGATAAATGACTAACCTATGGTTGTATAGCTAAGAAGAGTAAGAGGTAGGATTTGAATTCAGGTCTTTCTTGGCTTCAGTTCTAATATTCTGGCCCTCTACCTTGGCTGTCTCAAAATAATTGATGTTTGCTCAGAACTTTTAAAGTTTGCAAAGTGTCTTATATTCATCATCTTATTTCATCTTTACACCTGTTCTATGAGGTGAGAGCTACAGATGATATTATCCTTATTTCCTCATTGTCCTCATGACTTTTGGATGTGTCCAGAAGAGGCCATTAGGGTTGAAGAACTTAAATGATTTGCTTAGGGTCATCAAACTGCTGAGTGTCTGAGATGAGATTTGAATCCAGGCCTCTCTGACTACAAGTCCAGTGCTCCATGTATGGTACCATGCTTATGCTTCCTACTAGCTGTTTAATAAATGTTGAAGTGGAAATTGATGTCAACTTCAATTTAACTTTTCAACAAACATTTACTATTCCAAACAACTTCAAAATATTGTGGTCGATACCTGAATCTCTGCAAGGATCCCAGTGTCATTGGTTTCTTTCCAGAGGGAAAAAAAGGAAAAAAGAAAGCTCTTTGGGCTTCTTCCTATAATATGTGAACAATGGAAATGGAATGTCAAGTGGTTATGTTACTTTTCATTGGAGCATTCTTAGGTCAAGAACTGTACCTTTCTTGTTCTCCTTTGTCAGTGCCATAGATGACTGTGTTTGGTGCCTTGCTGCATGCTGTATGTGATACAAGGCCCTTTGTTCCCACTTTTATTGGGTCCAGTAGTAGGGCTCTATCGATGTAACAGAAGGCTTTAAGAAAGGCTTAAGCTAGAGACACCATGCAATGTTTTTCTTGTTACTTGTCTTCTTGAGCTATTCAAGGCCAATACTCTTGTTTATTGAGAAATGATTCTGAAATGTTTGCTGCCCATTAACCTTTTGTTTTTTCAGGCAGTATCACGCTTTTTGCCGCCATCACCATTGTTCTAGGTTGCTTTAAAATTGGATACTTTGTTGGGTTTGCGGAATGCCTATCAGCAACGGAAGGAGTTTTTCCAGTTGCCCATTCAATACATACTCTCTCACAGGTAAAACGATCTTGCTTTTTTCCTGTTAAGCTAATTATTCAATAAGTATTCTGTACCTATGCTAATTTCCTGCTGTGTGTAGAGGACTGTATTAGGACCTGGAGGAGACATTGAGTTTAGTGAAGACCTGATCCTATGATGAGATCTCTCTCTTTCTTTCCTGCTCTCATGGAATATGGTCTAGTTCAGTGGTTTTCAACCTTATTTTCCTCTCAGAATTGTGTTATTATTTGTAACAAAGAATTGTGGCACACTATGAGAAGACTGAGAATCTTGTGAAATCATAGGTTATTATAGTTGTAAGTTCCATATGTCACCTGGCACATGTAGCCTAAGTTCCTGGCACACCTTTTGAAAATCACAGGTCTATCACAGTGAGGAAGATACAACAAAAGTGCCTTATCTGTGATACAAAGCATTATGTGATTAAATGTGTCAGAGGGGTATAAAACAAAAGGAAATATAGGGGTTATACAAAGCGGTTTATCCTGTGGTGTCTACTCACTTGAGTTCATATTAAAGTCAAATTGTTGGGTAACAGCCAGGAACTAAAAGTGTTTTGCATTTTCATGCCTCCATTATTACTGATTCATAAGTTTAGTTGTTTCAGGTATGTCTGAGTCTTCATGACTCCATTTGGGGTTTGGCAAAGATATTGGAGAGTGGTTTGCCATTTCCTTCTCCAGATCATGTTACAGATAAGGAAACTGAGGCAAACAGGGTTTAGCAACTTGCCCAGTTTCACACAACTTGTAAGTGTCAGAGGCTGTATTTGAACTCATGAACAGTCCTCTTGCCTCCAAACCCAGAGCTCTATCCCTTGCACCACTTAGCTGCCTTATAAGATTCATGCAACCATTTATTAAGAACTCACTGTGTGCAAGGCACGCTGGTAGAGATTGCAGCTACAAAGATAATAATAGCAATTGCTCACATTTCTATAGCACTTGACAACTTTTAAAGCATTTTCTTCACAACAACCCTGTGATGCACATAAAGCAAATTTTATTATCCTTATTTTATAGATGAGGAAACCAAGGCATAGATCTTTATCCTGTGATTTTGTTTCATGGTGCCTCTGACACACAGTAACCCTATGTTTTTGCACAGAAAAGAGAATATCCCATCACTTCCCATCACTGTCTTTCACCTGTGGCAACAATGGCTAGTTTTCTGTCCAGACAGTGTTCTCTGCATACTGTGCCTCTGATCCTAGCGTAAAGAAGGAGAAAACTGAGTTCCCAGGACATTTAGGTGGCATTTTACAGTTTACAAAGTCCTTCCATCACAACAATCTTTTCAGGTACTTAGCATGAGTATTTTTAGAACCATTTCACAGATGAATGTACTGAGGCTCAGAGAAGTTCATTGGGAGAGAGGGTGTAAGCAGTTTCTGTGGAATGGGTGGTGCAGTAGATAGAGCCATGGACGAGGAGTCAGGATGGCCTGAATTCAGATCTAGCCTCAGGTACTTGCTAGCTGTGTGACCCTGGGCAGGACACTTAACCATTGTCTGCCTCAGTTTCCTAATCTGTAAAATGGAAAAAAAAAAAAGCACCTACCTCCAAACATTGTTGTAAGGATCACACAAGATAATATTTGGTAAAAAAAAAAAGTGCTTAGCACAGTGCCTAGCACACAGTAGGAACTACATAACTGCTTATTCTCTTACCTTTCAGTTCAAATCAATGGACACATGGGCCAATTGTGTATGAGGTCCTGTGTTAGCCATTGAAATGGTGCAGATGAATAAGACATTGTCTCTGCCATTGAGGAACTTACAGTGTAGTAGAGGGATTAAGGCAGTGGCACAAATGGCTATAATACAAAGAATACATATATAAGTGCAGAGGAAAGGGAGGGGAGAGTTTGCTCCTATCAAGAGTCTTCATGGAGTACTTGGCATCTGAGCTGGGTCTTAAACAAAAGGACCTGATCTGGAGCCCTTGAAGGTTATGCCAATGGAACCAAATGGGGATAATAATGGAACTTGGAGTGGTTTGCCATTTCCTTCTCCAGCTCATTTTACAGATGAGAAAACTGAGGCAAATGAGGTTAAGTGACTTGCCCAGGGTGATACAGCCAGTAAGTGTCTAAGGCCAGATTTGGGAAGATGAGTCTTCTAGACTTCAGATTGGGCATTCTATCCACTGTGCCACTTCGCTGCCAATAATATTCAATTAGAATGTATAATTATATAATGTATATGGATAACTGTTCAAATATTAAAAACATTTACTCTTGCTCAAAAATCAAGCAACTGTTTTGCCATCTATTTTTGTATCAATAATCTGGGTAAATTTATTTTTTGATAGCTTCATCTGAATTATACCTTTTATCTTATCTGACAATAGATTTATCTGACCATTTTCCATTTCACTCAATTTTACTGAAATGTTTAATTTTGAGGAAAATAGTTATTTTAATGATGCATTTCCAATAATAAGTAGCTGAGGAAAAAAATGACACTTCTTTGATATGCTACCTTATAATTTTAAATGGAAGAATATGGTTTCTCCTTGGAAACATAATTCTCATAAGTATGTTTTAAAAAGACAGCCACAGCTCAAAATAAAATCATAACAGAAATCTCATATTTTTATAATTTAATCCTTGGCTTTAGAAATACTGGGACATAAACTAGTATTTGACTAGATGGTAATATAAAGAAAGTTATAAATGATAATGTTTTTCCTTACACACAGAAAAGTATTGGTGGTCTTGGAACTAGCATTCCATTCTCTTAATAAAGGAAGTGTTTTATTTCCAAACTAGATATGGTTCTGAAATTGTTTAATAATAACCAGGTGCAGAATAAACTTCAGTAACACAGTGTAACGGAAAGGACACTAAATATAGCGTCAGAGGAGCTGGATTCAAATTGAAGCTCAGCTTCTTGTTAATTGTGTGACCTTGGGCAAATCCCTGACTTCCTTGGGGATTCACTTCCCTCATCTACGAAAATGAGGAGATTATACTAGATGATTTTTAGGGTGCTTTTCAGCTCTAAATTCTATGATTCTGGAAATTTATAGAGCATCAAAGATGTACAGTATAGTGAGAATGAGAATTTTTTTTTTTATGGATTTTAGTCTTAGCTCTACCACTGACTTGTGATTTTCCCTAAGGTCCCTTCTAGCTCTGACATTCTATGTCAGAATTTTCAAGATGTGAGGATATTTCAAAAAAAAATATTTTCCTCCAAAATGAATTTATGGTTGTGTAATTTATCCTGAATTTCACTTGAGCATTGGAACCACTTTAGGTCTATGGACACTAGACCATTGGAATGATTTTCATCTAATTAGAGCTATTCCCTCTCAGTCTCAGCCCTCCTTTTTGCTATTGCCTGTCTATAGGTTCTCATGTATTCAAAGATAGTGACAACTATCCAATTGATACTTTTTTTTGCATTTATATCTACCTAGGTATATTTCCTTTGGGGGCATGCAAAGGATATTATCCAGTCTTTCAAAACACTTGAAAGGTAAAAAAAAAATTGCTTCAAACACTGATTATGATATTCTTTTGGAAACATGTTTTATCAAACAAAATGTATTCAATCCTTTAAATAATGGCTTATAAGTATTATTAATTATTCCTCTCAAGGGGGATTTTATTTATTTACTTTTGGTGATACAATTGGGGTTAAGTGACTTGCTCAGAGTCACACACACAGCTAGTGAGTATTATGTGTCTGAGGTCAGATTTGAACTCAGGTCCTCCTGACTCCTGAACCAGTGCTCTAGCCACTGTGCTACCTAGCTGCCCCAGTCAAGAGGGATTTTAAAAGAGGCCACAGAAAGACACAGGTTATTTATGTTATTGATCTTCTCTTGGTTACCTTTTTTGGGTAATAATAAGATTCCACATTTTCTCACACCTTTGGTATCTTCTCTTCATTCATAATCAATCCTTTAGCATGCTCTCTGTCTCTGTCTCTCTCTTTCTACACACACACACACACACACACACACACACACACACACACACACATACACGCACACTTACTCCACACACTTAGTCTACTCAAATTGTTTTTCTCATCTGGAACTGTTTTTAGGATGCAAATGGCTCCATTGTTTTTGTTGGTGAAATTACTTGGTTATAAAACTCTTGTACAGATTTTTTCCATCTTTTAATGTTTGTTGTTCTTTTATCTAGTTTCAAACTTAATGCCTTTGGGATGATTTGCTTAGCTGCATCTCTTGCCAAGTTTTCTTTAAACCGATTTTCCTCTATCTGCTTCTGATTATTTTGTGATGTGTCACTGTTTATAGTCCTCTACATTTTCTGTAAAATTTTACAAACATCAGTGAACCTTCTAAATGAAGTTCATGATCACTCAAAATAATTGGTCCTAACTATTCACATGGGAAAAACCAAGTGAATGTAGAATGTCTACTTCTACAAAATGAAATATTAAGAACATACTTTGAGGGTGGTGATAGCGGTGGTGGTAAAACTGGGTTTCTCTGTCTCACCCAAATTAAAAATGAAAGGGCTACTCACGGGCCCAATCCTACTGCTGATCAGCACAGGAGCTTTGAACTGCTCCATTTCCAACGTGCTGATTTGGCCCTTCTTAGGCAGCTTGGTGGCCTCTTATTCCTTCGAGTTTGCCATATTGTGGTTGGACTTGATGAGGATACCCAGTTGGCTTTATCCTAGTACAATTTAGAGCTCTTGAGCTCAAGTGATCCACTAACTCCAGCCTCCTTAGGAGCAGGGGTCATGGGCATGTATCACCACACCAAGCAAGAAGATACATTTCTAAAATTGTGTTAATAAATATTAGATTAAGTTACATAAAAGACACGTTGTGTAAAATGAATCTAAACATGTACTCTCTAACTTTAATGTATGGTCCTGTAGCCCTAAGACATTCCTCATATTATGGGGGGGGGGATCTTTTCATAGAAGTAGAGAATAAATTCTCTTGGAAAGATCTTAGGAAAAATCAAATAGCCTATATCAATTAAAATTATAGATGAGTCTAGACCTTAGAGATCATTTAGTCCAATTCCTTCGTTTGACAGATTAGGACACTGAGGTTTAGGGAAGTTCAGTGTTTTGCCCAACATCCTATGATTGGAAATAATAGTACAAAGATTTGAATCTGTTTCTTCTGGCTCCAAACCAGGGTTCTTCCCACCATTTCATGCTAAGGCTCTGTTTTGTCTAAGTTAACCATGTCTACATATGCATTTGGTGGTTTGGACAACAGGACTGATTTATTAGGTCAGTCTTGCTCAATTTAAAGGGAAGCAGGGAATTGTACAGTTGACAAGTAAATTGTTGAAGATATGGGATTTTAGGTTGTCTGGAGAAAAACAAATCTCTGCTATTGACAAATGTGCTGTGGGTTCAAATGGTAAAAGATTTTTCCTTTAGTTATCCATGTTCAGTTCTACCAGATGTCAATCTGGAATGAAAGTTCCCTCCCCTTTCCCCCAAGTGACCCAGCATAATTTCATTTCAGGCCATTTCAATTCAGTGCAGTTCAAATTAATTTAAACTAACATTTATCAAATGCCTAAATGTGTAAAGAGCTAATAATCACTGGGAGAATACAAAGTTTAGATTATTCATGATCTCTGTCTTCATGAAGTTTATAATCTAGTGCAGATGCAAACGTAAGTATCCATAATAAAAATTATAAATGAAAATCATTTCTATCAGACACTTATTGAGTTATGTGAGCTTGGACAAGTCACTTACCCTTTGTTTGTCTCAGTTTTCTCAATTGTAAAAAGGAGATAATAATGACGCTCACCTCCCAAGGTTGTTGTGAGGATCAAATGAGATATTTGTAGGTTTTATGTAAATCATTACAAAATGGTTAAGGTAGGGAAGGAAGGTCAGGGAAGGCTTCCTGGGAAATGTGATATTTGATATGAGCTTTAAAGGATGGATGGAAATTAAACAGGGAAGTGGTGAAAGGAGATCATTCCAGACATAGAGAACAGCAGGAGCAAAGACAATGAAATATATCAATATCCATATCTATGTCATCTCTCTCTATCTCTTCCTCTAACTCTATCTGTGTTGCTTTCCCTATCTCTATCTCTGTCATCACTTAGCTATACTATATCCACACTCACATATGTATATGCACTTGTGTATATGTGTGTATATATATATGTATATACACAGATACATATGGCATGATGTAGTTGATAATAAATGACCAGTCTTGAAGTCATAAAGACTTTGTTTCAAGACTTGCCTTTGACACATTCTAACTGTGTAACCACAGAGAAGTTATGCAATTTCTCAGTATCCCCAGGAAACTCTTTGACTATAAATTACAGAGAAGTTTCTCAACTTCATTCATGAAGGGAGTTCTATATTTGGAATTCCCCAAATTGACGAAATTACAAATCTGGACAAATACAAATGCATGTGAGACACACATTCACATACATACAAACACACATGTTAACACACTGACATTATGGATTCAACCTGTGATTTTGTTTCATGGTGCCTCTGACACACAGTAACCCTATGTTTTTGCACAGAAAAGAGAATATCCCATCACTTCCCATCACTGTCTTTCACCTGTGGCAACAATGGCTAGTTTTCTGTCCAGACAGTGTTCTCTGCATACTGTGCCTCTGATCCTAGTGTAAAGAAGGAGAAAACTGAGTTCCCAGGATATTTAGGTGGCATTTTACAGTTTACAAAGTCCTTCCATCACAACAATCTTTTCAGGTAGTTAGCATGAGTATTTTTAGAACCATTTCACAGATGAATGTACTGAGGCTCAGAGAAGTTGATTGACTTGCCCATAGTTATGTGGCTGGCAAATACTGGCATGGGGATTGGGGTCTTCTGATTATCCTGGGCTCTTTCTGCTATACCCTACAATAAAAGCTCACATATATGAGGCCCTTTCTATACATTACCTCAGGGCATCTAGATCCTCATAATTCTAGCAGAAAAGAGCACCTGGATCTTTTCAGAATATACTTGTAGACATACATCACTGTTGGGAAAAAAAAGACAAAAGAATAGGGTTTTTCCTAAAAGGGCTTCCTGGTAGAAATAGGGAATTTTCAGTGCTGAGGATTCCCGTCTGTAGCTAGGGACCTAACTTCATTTATTCTCTTGGGGTTGTCTTTTGTCCCAGTTTGGAAAGGAGACAAGGAGACATAAGTTGAAACCAGAATTGCTGGGAAGAGAGTTCTTTCTTTATTGTGGTCTGGAGTGATTAGTATCAAGCTACAATAAAGGTAGTTTGAGGAAATTTTTTCCCCAATCCCAGAGAAGTTTCCAAATCAAACCAACACAGGGAATATAGCCAGATGTAGCTGCTAAAGGCAATGACTGTTGGCAAAGGAAGGGCAAAAATTAATTTATTGTGCTCAAAGTCAATTGGACAAGGAAGTAAGAACAAAAGAACATGGAGCCATATGTATTATTAGCAAATGAAAGACAGTCTGAATCAAATATTATCATCTGTGTTTGTTAATTGCTCAACATAATACCTCATAGACATTTCACTACACTGATAAAATGTACAAGGGCTCAACAAATGTCAATAGCAAATAAATTTTACACACATATTGATTTAGAAATATCATCTACGGTTCTATTTTATTCTTCATTCCTTCCTGGAAATTCCACCCTTGACAAAGATAAACATTGTATTCAAGTGGCAAAATGCTGTTCCTCCAGCTAGCACTGGATAGTTGGAGTTTTTGTCAGAATCCAAGTGGGTTTCAGTACCGGCTCTGCCTCCATCTGACTTTGGGAAAGTCAATTTGGGCTTCAGTTTCTTCATCAATAAAACGAAGGGATTGGATTAGATAATGTTTAAAGTCCTATCCACCTTTAACATCATATACATACATGTATACATACATATATTTAGACACACACTTATACATACACACATTCTAAAAACGCTTTCAGTTCTAACATTCTGTATCCATCTCCTATGTTTACTTCCAACTGTAGTGTTTTATATATGTAATATAAGATTCCTTTCACTTCTAATTCAATTTGACAAACCTTTATTAATTAACCTGGTAGAAAAAAGGGTGAGGGGTGATTTGGGGATGTCTTCATAGAAGAAATAGCACCTGTGTTGAACCTTAAAGGAGGGGAAGGATTTCAGTGTGGAAATTAAAGTGGAGGGAGACAGCATTGTAGGCATGGTGACAGGGCAGAATAAGAGCAAAGGACAGTTCAGTTTGACTAGAATGCAGAGCATATGGAGAGGAATAGTATGCGGAACTGGACAGATAGTTTGAAGGTAGATAACAAAGGGCCTTGAATACCAGAGTAAGAATTTTATACTTCATTTGGCAGGCAATGGGGAGTCACTGAAGATTTTTAAATAGAGGAGTGATGTGCTAATAGTGGGGCCTTAGAAATTCTGTTTAGATAGTAGTGGAGGGTAGATTGAAGAAGCAGTCTAGAGAAAAGCTGGAGACAAGATGACCAGTTAGGAGGCTGTTGTAAAGGTCTAGATGAGAAAAGTGGAAGACTTAAGTCAGGGTGATTTTGTGGAAATAGATGGGAGGGGACAGATTAAGAGATATTGATGGAATAGAAGTTGTCATCAGCGACCTTAGAGAGAACTCTTTCATCAGAATGGAGGAGAATCAAAGTCAGATTTCAAGGTGAGGAATAAGGGGGTGTTTTGAAAAAGGTGATACCTAGTATTTATGACTGTTTTCTAGAAATTTGGAAGAGAAGTGGAGGAGAGGGGAAAAGATAAATAGCAGTCAAGGGAATTATTATTAGGATAGGGGATTTCTAAGAAAAGAAGAATAAAGGTTCGTGAGAAGGGAAGGACGGAGCAAGTTTACAGAATTGAAGGGAGTAGACAGGACTGAGAATGTGGATGGGCTTGAATAAAGGGTTTAGTCTTCTTCTGAGTCTAGAGGAAAGGAGAAATGCATGGGTGAAGACCCTGAGAAGATCAGGGAATCGAGGCACTAATATTTGCTATTCCACCTTCTAAGATTTTTTCTGCTGGAAGGGTCTTCGTTCCGATGTTTTAAGGGTCCCTCTAGCTTTAATCACCTATGTCTACAGCTACCTCAAGCTCCAGTTTCAGGAACTCTGCTTTTGGAATGCTGCAGATTATTAATTTAACACATGGCCAATTTTGCTGAATAACTGATTTTTGCCAGAGATGAAATTAGGATAGAAGTTCTAGATGATGTGTTTGGAGAGGACCCTCTGGCTCTGACCCCAAAGAGAGTGATTGATTGCTCCTGCCCTGGCCCTATTCATTGGTTATTCTGCTTGGATAGCCCCTTCCCCTGAGCTACTCATTAAGCAAATGGCAATGTTTTCTAGGTTCGGCTTGATCCATTCTGTATTCACAAATTTACTCCTCTGGGCTAATGGTGTCCTGAATGAGTCAAAGCACCAACTCAACGAGCATAAGGAAAGGCTAATGACTCTTGGCTTTGGAAACATAACAATAGGTAAGGTTTGGTGTAAATGTTTTGCTCTCCAGCATTGCCTTAGATGTATGGTGCCTCAGTTTCTTCATCTATAAAATGGGAATAATAATAGCACCTACCTCCCAGTTATGAGGATGAAATGAGATATGGTTAGTAAAGAATTAAGCACATTGCCTGGCACATAGTAGGTACTTAATAAATGATTATTCTCATCCCCTTCCTCACTTTCACTGTATAGATGAAGCTATGATGAATTCAATTTTCTTTTTCTCCCTTAATTCCTGTTGACAATCTTTCTAAAATATATGACTACTTCCTTTCATTATTAAATTAAGTCCACTGAACTTAAAAAAAAGCTATTTTAATGACTGAAGATTTTGCAGGGCTCCATTGTGATTTGCCTGAAGATAATTCCACATTGTTTAGTACCACACACAGAATATAGTAGTTATGAGATTGGCACTTGGGTTAAATGTGTAAATTCTGACCAAGACCAACCTAGGCCAGTTTAGTGATTCAGGCCTACAGCTTAAAATTCAATTAAACACTCCTGGTCCATGAAATACAATAAAAGCAACTTTATTGATAACAAGAGATTAAAAGAATACAAATTTTAAAGCTAAAAAGTATACTGACTCAGATAATACACATTTTTTTTCTGTCTACCTAGTCAGCCTACCTCAATCAGCCATGCTAAGTATTCTCTGTAGGCAGTAAGAGATCCAGTAAAACCTTTGATCCAAACTGCTCTTAGGCTGGGTTTTCTATACCTCAGGTAGCAAGGAAGCCAAAAGGTTCCCTAATGCCCTTAAAGGACCAATCTAGTCTACTTAAAACCCATGTTTCTCCTCCTACATCACATTTGTTCGTTTTCTTTTAAATTAAATCTATGATATTACCCCTTTCTCTTTAAAGTGTATGTACATGCATATACACACACGTATATATATGTACCAGTTAATCAAAGGTATAGTAGAAAGAACTCTAGATTTAGAATCAAAAGAGCTAGATTCTAGTTCTAGGGCATGTCACTCTCTGAGCTTCAGTTTAATTTTTTGTGAAATGCAAAAAAAGTTATGCTTTTGTTATCTATCTCATAGGTTCTTGTGAGAATCAAAGGAGGTAGTGTACTTTGTAGTCAGAAATCATCATATAAATGTAATTTTTTCTGCATTCTTTAGGAATCCTCTTTGAACACATCTATGCCAGAGCCTCTTGCTTAATATAAATCATAAACAGCTATTTGAACTGATAGCAAAGCTATAGTGAAAATTTTAGATCCAACGGAAATTGTTCCCTATGACTAGAATGCCTCTCTCCCCCCATTTCTGCCGGCTAATGTCCTATGTATCATCTTTCAAGGCAATTCTATCTCCTTCATGAAGCCTACCCTAGATTTCTTTCTTCTCTTCCCTCCTGGCAGTGGTTTCTTCCTCTTCTGGACTAACATAATTACATCTTAGCCCTCTCATTACACTTTCACACTCTAGTAGTTATAGCTATCTGTTTCCATGTCTTATCCTCTCACCATACTCTAAACTCCTCCGGGGCAGGGTGTATGTCCTATTCCTCTTTGTATGGTCCATCCTGCCTGTACAAGGCAAGTGCTTCAAGAATGACCAGAATTTAAGAATGCCTTAAAGAACCAAATTCTATCAATTGTTGCAGTACATTTTCTGAAATCCGTAAAGCAAAGAAAATAGATAGTATGAAAAATTTTATTTTAAAGTGAAACTATAATGTCAGCATACAATTATTTGCACAGCAAATTACAGTAAAATTGTTTTTAAAAATGTTTGTCTGCTGACGGGCTTAGTCCTTCTAGTTTTAATAAGAGAAAAATGAATTGGATTTGAACACAGATTGGTTAGCCTGGAAGAAAATGAAGTTTCAGTTCATTGCATGGAATAGATGCTTAATAACTGTTTCTGAATTGAATGAAACTTTGGATGAAGTAGATTCTGAGCCATCGTTGATATTGAAGAGTTTGTATTGTTGTTTCTCTGACTGAATGAAATGATTTTTTCATCCCAGTATAACCTGTCTTTTTCTTTTAGCCTTAGATGACCACACACCTGACTGTAATTGTACATCCACTGCTCTCTGCTCCACTATCTCACAAGGAATCTATTATCTCTATCCTTTCAACATAGAGTATCATATTTTGGCCTCCACAATGTTCTACGTCCTCTGGAAAAACATTGGACGCAAAGTTGAAACTCACCAGCATCCAAAAATCCAATTTAAGTTCCATGGTGTGATGATGGGCACAGTTGTAGGTCTGACAGTACTGGCCACCACAATTGCCATTGCTGTAGTCTACTTGATCCAGATTGGGTGTTCAAAGACAAAGAGTGAGTTTGCACTCATCATGTTTTACGTATATGCTACAGCCTCATTGATGGTGATGGTCATTGTTGGCATTGTAGGAGTTTGGATTTATAGGACAGAAGAGACATCATTGGATGAGTCCAAAAATCCTGTCCGGAAGCTTGACTCAGACCTCTTGATAGGAACTGCATCGGGGTCCTGGCTTATTTCTTGGGGATCCATCTTGGCCATTATCTGTGCTGACAAGCGCCCTACATACACATGGTACAGCCTGCCTTATTCTATCCTTGTGATTCTGGAGAAATATATTCAAAACCTTTTCATCATTGAATCCATACATCGCAAGCCTGAGAAATATAATGAAGACATCAGACTCTTAGGGTCATGGCCATATGCAATAGGAATTCCACTCCACTCACTCCTTCATGTCAAAAGAATTGTGGTATGGCAGGAGATGCTGCTTCCAACAGCAGAGAATTGTCATACATGTTCAATGGAAGTATTTGCTTGAGAGAAGACTATATGACAGATAGCAGAGAACAGAACCAAGAATACAACCCAGTTATAAACTGCAGTCCAAGTTCCTTGCCAGCTAACACCAAGAGAAAAATCCTGAGGAATATTGTAGCCTTTTTGTTCCTCTGCAACATTTCGGTAAGATATACAAAATATTATGTATAACCTATGTCATATTGCTTGTCTTCTCAATGGTGGGGGAGGGAGAGAATTTGGAACTCAAAATTTGAAAAAAGAATGTCAAAATTGTTTTTACATGTAATTGGGAAAAATTAAATATTAGATTTAAAAAAGATACACTAAGTATCCTGTCTACGGGGCAAATAGCAGAACCAAAAGCACTTGAACTTTATGGAGCCACAGAATGATAGAATCTTAGAGCTGGAAACAGGCTTGTTCTGGTAAATGTTTAACAACTCTCTCTGAAAAAACAACTGTCCTCAGGTTATATTTTGTTTAACCTGAATTATCAACATTTTCTTCTTTACTTTCTTAAGCCTGGACAATCAACAAAACACTAAATCAAATTCTGATATGTAGCATTGATTTCTGAGGTATAAAGGCTCACATTCAAAATTTAATAATCAGCTCTCTCCAGCTGGCTCCAGCACACCAAGGCTGGAAAGGATCTCAGTGGTCAGCTAGTCCAATCTCTATCTGGAGCAGGAATCTCCTTTATAATATCTTCAAAACTTTTCAGCCTCTACTTAAACGTGATGTCACATGTTGCCTTATGAAACAGCACATTCCATCTTTGTATAGCTCTAAATAGTTGAGAGTTTCTTCCTTATAAAGAATTTAAATCTGCCTCCTGGAAATTCTGCCCATTAATCTTAATTTTCCCTGCTGTTCCCAAGCAAAATTAGTTGTTTTTTTTTAAAATTAATTAATTTATTTTTAGTTTTCAACATTCACTTCCACAAGATTTTGAGTTCCAAATTTTCTCCCCATCTCATCCCTCCCCCCACCCTAAGATGGCATGCATTCTGAATACCCCTAATCTGTCCTCCCTTCTAGCTCTCCCCCTCTTCTCTTATCCCCGTCTCCTTCAATTTTCCTGTAGGGCAGGATAAATTTCTATACCCCATTTCCTGTATATCTTATTCCCAGTTCCATGTGAAAATTTTTTTTTTAAAAAAACTTCTGTTTTTAAAATTTTTGGTTCCAAATTTTCTCCCTTCCTCCCTCCCCACCCACCCTTATTGAGAAGGCAAGTAACTCGATACAGGTTATACATATGCAGTCATGCAAAACATTTCCATAGTAGTCATGTTGTGAAAAACTAAGTATATTTCCCTTCATCCTATCCCACCCCTCATTTATTCTATTCTCTCTTTTGACCCTGTCCCTCCTTAGAAGTGTTTGCTTCTGATTACCTCCCTCCCCCAATCTGCCCTCCCCTCTATCATCCTCCTGCTCTCTTGTCTCCCCCTCCCCCCATTTTCCTGTAGGGTAAGATAGATTTCCATACCCAATTGAGTGTCTATGTTATTCTCTCCTTAAGCCAAATCTGATGAGAATAAGATTCACTCATTCCCTCTCACCTTCCCCACTTTCCCTCCACTGTAAAAGCCTTTTCTTGTCTGTTTTATGTGAGATGATTTACCCCATTCTACCTCTCCCTTTCTCCTTCTCCCAGTATAATCCTCTCCCACCCCTTAATTTTATTTTTCAGATATCACCCCTACAACTTAGGACTATATTTTCTGGGCTTTCAGAGGTTGATAGGGTAGGGTGAGAGTGACTACCTTTTTATTCTGCCGTCTTGGCTCCCAGAAGTGGAAGTCCAGAATTAGTTAAATAGATAGGTATAGTGGATAGAGAGCCAGTCTTGACTTTGATTTCAAGTCCTACTCAGACACATAATTGCATCTCTTTAGCTACCATATGCCTAGATTTCAGCCAATTTTTGGTTCAGCCTCTATCTTGTGAATAAGATGGGCACTGGATAATACTGCCAATGTTCCAGGACACCTTCTAACACTGTTGATTGCAGAACAGGCATTGAGGTAGAGGATGTTTCCTCATTGGGAGGAATCACCAGTGAATTTGGGGATCACCAGTGAAATCATGGGCCTAGATTAAAGTAAAAAAAATAAAAATAAAATAACCCTATTTTTAAAAAGTTAAAAAAAAATTTCACAACGTAAAAATTATCCCATACTTGGTTTTCTACAGATTAATATTAGCAAACAAATAAGAAAAAAACTATGATACAAAACTGTATGAGAAAGTCAGCATGGTGGAGTGGAAAGCTCATTGGACTGGGTGTCAGGAGACCTGGGTATTCTGGGTCTTGATTATTTTATTAATTATGGTAGCAGTGTAACCTTGGACAAGTCACTTTCACTCTTTGGGCCTCAGTCTTCTGGTCCATAAAATGCAGGAATAGGCCAACATGATTTCTAAGATCACTTCCTCCTCTAACCTACTATACACATAAGTTGAATTATTAGTCACAGATGCTTAAGCATTAGTTGCAGAAGAGAATTCCTGGAACTATTTGGGGTGAAGTTGTCCTTACTGACTCCACAAATGGGCTTCTGGATTTCAGGGACAAATTCTTTTAATGATGAGATAAAAAATGACCTTGCTATGTGATCATCACTTCAGTTCAGGTAGCAATTATACTTCATGTCTTTTAATACCTGACATTTCATCTTTTTTCCTGATTCAGGTAGAAACACCAGTTCCACTTAGCACATTCTTTCTGAGAGGTTCCGAGACCAAGCAAAAAATAAGACCAACAATCACAATGCCTCACACTATATATTTTAAAGAATACATTCATATATGTTACTCCATTGGATTCTCATGAGAACTTTGTGAGGTTGAAAGAGAGAGTATCATTTCTCCCATTTTAAAGATTAATAATGAAGGAAAAAGTATTTTATTAAGTGACCTATGCATTGGGCAGAGGACAGAAATAGAAAAAGTGAGCCAGTACAGCTGGGTACTTAATTCTCAAGGAGCTCACACTCATTCACTCAATTAATCAATGAACATTTATTAAATGCTTACTATGTGTCAGGAACTGTGCTAAGTGCTAGGGATACAAAAAGATGCAAAAGACACTCCTGCCCTCATGGAGTTTATAATCTAATAAATATATGCAAAGCAACATACGTAAAAGCATTCAGCTTCACCATGGAAGGAAAGGCCCACAAGGCCTAAAGGTCTGTAAGCAGGGTTGACGGTAAGGCCTTGGGATCCTCAGATAGAAAAACAAGTCCAGAGCGGCAAAAGGACTTGCCTACAGTCACATAGTTGACTAGAGCCAATGTGCAAATCCAGTCAAGCAAAGCAAGTCGGATTAGAGTACTTATATATAGTCCCTTCCAACACTGAGATTTCATGATTCTGTGACTCTAAGTCTATATGTTCCAGTTTGGTCCCACTCCTTCATCTGCCTGAGAAATAATCAGTTTTCTTTCTAATCTGAATCTTCTCTTTAATTTAAACTTGCATCCTATTTCATCCTCTCCTGATCATCTCTGGGCTGCTGTCCTTGAGCCCTAAACACCTGGCTCCCTTTGTTCTCCTGCTAATCAGGTTTACAATTGAGCTAGACATGGGAAAAGCCCTCAATGAATGCTCTTCAAATTGAATTCTCTAAACCACTTGGCCAAATCAACAAATGGTTGTAGAGCACCTGTTGTGGGAGAGAACAGCATTGGGGAACTACAAAGAACATGACATAGGATCCTACCCTCAAAAGGTCTAATTGAGGTACTAAGAAATATATGGAAAATCACAATTGAGAATGACAGGTTGACTATGATAGGAGCAGTTAGTGCTATAGAAGGTCATAGGAAGCAACTAAGTGGAATACTAGATAGAGTGCTAAGCTGAGTCAGGAAGACCTAGGTTTAAATGCTACCTCAGATACCTTACAGTTAAGACTCAGAAAATCTGGATTCAAGGCCATTTGCTAGCTGTGTGCCTCTAGGAAAATCATTTAACCATTCTAGAATCAGATTCTTCATTTATAAAATTAGGATAGAAATATTTGCACTGCCTAAATGTGTAAGACCAAAAGCCAGTCCCCAGTAGATAAATAGTCAAAGAACAGAAAGAGGCTGGTATGACGATACATGCCTGTAATTCCTGCTACTTGAAAGAATAGGGCTGGTGGATTACTTGAGCTAGGTAGCTCTGAGATGGAATAGGGTTAAAACTGTTAGGAACCTGCATTAAATCCCTCACCAATATGGTGAGTCCCAGGAGTGTGGGGAGGAGGGGACCGGGTTGTCTAAGGAAAGGAGAACCAGGCCAGGTTGGAAATAGAGAAGGCTGAAGCTTTTCTATTGATAAGTAAAGGGTTTCAAGCTTGTGAGTGGCAGCTACATTTCCTGCCTTAATGAGAATGGGAGAAGTAGTCTCCAAAACCAAAACCAACCAAACAAATAAACTATAAAGGATATGAATAGTTTTCTATAGAATAATTGTAAACTATTCACAACCATATGAAAGAATGCTCCAAATAATAAGAGTTCAATAACCCTGAAGTTACATTTCACACCCAGAAAACTGGCAAATATGACAAAAGATGGGAATAATCAATGTTGGAGGCTTATGGAAAGACAGGCACATGTATCCCAAAGAGATTAAAGAAAGAGGAAAATGATCTATATAGACAAAAATATTTATAGCAATTGTATTTGTAGTAGTTCAAACCTGGAAACTAAGGGGATGCCAACCTATTAAGCAATGGCTAAGCAAATTATGATATATGAATGTAATCGAATGTTATTATATTGTAAGAAATGACAAGACAGAGAGTTACAGAATTCACTGAAAGTAAGTGGAACTCAGAGAACAATTTATACAGAAATAACATTGTAAAGAAAAACAACTTTAAAGACTTTAAAACTCTGATGAATGCAATGAAAAAAAACCATGGTGCCAGAGGACTAAAGGTGAAGGATGCTGCTTCCTTCTTGCCAGAGAGGTGATGGCCTTTAAATGCCGGATAAGTCATACATTTTTGGATATGGCCAGTGCGGGGATTTGTTTTGCTGGACCATGTATATTCATTACAAGAGTTTTGTTTTTATTTTATTGTTTATTATTTAATTTGGGAAGGAAAAGTAGGAGAGACAGATGATAAATGTGCATTTTTAAAAAAAAAAAGAATAAAAAACGAAAGACAGTTATACTAATACATTCTTGATGGAGCTTGAAATTAACCTAACCATTATGGAAAGTGATGTGGAATTATGAGAAGAAAGTGACTAAAATGTCCACATCCTCTGACTTAGTGATTCCACTGCTAGGCATATACCTCAAGGAGGCCAATGACAAAAAGAAAGGCCCCATGCATCATAAAATAATTGTAACAGCATTTGTAGTATCAGTGACTCAGGAATTCAGTGACATCCTGTTGGGGGGGGTATTATATACTTCCCAGTGGGCTAAGTAAGCACTGGGATTATTTGAGGAGGAATCAAGTCAAAGATAGTGAGCAAAAGCAGAGATAATGTGGCACTCCAAGACATTGAATTGACCAAGAATAGCAGCAAAGCTGACCTTGACTATTTTTTTTGCTATTTCATTTGATTCTCCTTGTATTATTTCATTTGATCCTCATAACAACTTTCTGAAGTAGACAATTCTTCAAACTGCCTGATTTTACAAGGGATTCCTGTTCAGGTATGGCTTGGGATAGTTCACCTGTGTGGTCTCTTTCAGCTGTCAGATTCTGTGATTCAGGGTAAGTTCCTTACCCTCTCTGGGACCAAGCTTTCTGTAAGATGAGCCTCTTGGACTAAGGCGGTCCCAGAGAGCAGAGGTCAGCTCTGGAGAGGTGAGGCTATTTTTGTCTGGGCTTTGTGTGGACCCCAAGCAAAGGCTTCTCAGGAGACAAGAACTGATGACAATGCAGCTCTTTCCCCTTCTCAACAGCTTTGGATCCCACCTGCCTTTGGATGCAGGCCTGAATATGACAACGGATTAGAAGAAATTGTTTTTGGATTTGAACCTTGGATAATCGTGGTTAACCTTGCAATGCCTTTTTCTATTTTCTACCGGATGCATTCAGCTGCCTCTCTGTTTGAGGTCTATTGTAAGTTGTAGACTCCTCGGTATCCATGAATGGATGGACAAATAAACAAATCCGAAAATTCATTCTCCTGCCATCTGATAACCACTAGATTCTGCAAATATTATGTTAGCAAACAAAGGGACAGTAAATAGGTTGTGTTATTGCCTTTCAATTTTTATATGCAATCATGGTGTTTACTATATTTTTAGGGGAATTTTTTTTATCCTCGATTAGAGTTCAAATTTTTGATGAACAAAAATCCATAATAAAGTTGAATTAAAAAATTTAATGAAATTGCATCAATTTTTTTTCCTGGTTCAGTTTCCTTTTGAAATAATTCCACTGAATAGCATGTGCCTTGTAATTAGAGAATATATTACTAGTTTGGAAAGCCTTATATTTAATTTTTGAACAGATAGAATGTTATTTGTAATTTTCTCCAGGGTAACTTGTATATACATAGATACTGATAATAATAGTATTCTTTATTGATAGAATTTTGTGCATGTTTTTACTCATGAACATTTTGGATTTTTTTAATATTCTTTTTAAATGACTATGTCTATATTGTAATAAAGTTGGTTCTTTTTCAACAAATTGGCATTTTTATTTAAAGTCAGTTTGATTCAACTGAACAAAAAATGATTCAGGAAGGAACGAAACAAAGCATTTATTAAGTGCCTACTATGTGCCAGGAACAGTTTAGAAATATGATCTCCTTTCATCCTCACAACAACTCTGGAAAGGTAGGTGGTTTTGTCCTCATTTTACAGATGAGGAAACTGAGGCAAATAGAGGTTAAGTGATTTGCCCAGGGTTCCATAGCTACTGAGTATATGAAGTCAGATCTGCTCTTCCTGATCCCAGGCCTAGTATTCTATCCACTGTGCCACCAGCTTACCTGGTTAAGCATATGTTTTATATATATATATATATATATATATATATCCATTGGGATGGCCCAATGGATAGAGCCCTCAGACATTCACTTGCTGTGAGACACTGGGCAAGTCACTTAACTTCTGTTTGCATTCTTAATCCACTGGAGAAGGAAATGGCAAACCACTCCAGTATCTTTGCTAAGAAAATCCCACAAAGGGTCAGACAAGACTAAATGACTGAGCAACAGACACTGTGTTTGGGGTTAGGGTGGGTATAGGGAGGACACAGTTCGTACCTTTGTGGGGCTTTTCAGCATTATGCAAAGATATGTATTAAACAAAAACATAACATATATAAAATTGTGTATGATGATGTGTATTAATGTTGCCTTGTTTTCGTTATTTGTCCTTCATTCTCAAAAAGGGCCATGACATCAGCAAGAGGATGCCCTGACTTGCCAGTGAATTGTCTTTAAGTAAGGGAGGGCTGTGCAAGGGCACCAGACTTACTTTCTCCTCTGGAGTCATCTGGATCTAGTGGCAAGATATAGATCAGGAGGACTGGAAATGGCCCCCTAATGTCGCCATGTAACAGTTGGCACCCTACATGGAACTGACTTCACTTTGTAGAAGGCATTCTTTGGTCCTGCCCTAGACTTGAGGCCCCATCATAGAAACAAACTGGGAATCTCTGAAGTTAAACTGACTCACCCCTAGCTATGCAGTTTGCTATAGTGCTAACAAATCTAGACAAACAGTAGCACAAATTCAATAAAAGAACTAATTGGCATGGAAATGAGAATTATAAACACTGTCAGTGTCCATTTTGCAAGTGAGTGGCTCACTGATTTCTCTCTCTCCTGGCATAGTCTGGGAAGAAAGCATCCTTCCTCCAGCTTCCCTCTCAAAAACGGAGGAAAACAGGGTCAAGTCTCAGCAGCCTTGAGCCCCTGGGGCTTGGAACTCTCAGTCGTCTTTCTGTTCTGGCTGCAGTTTTCTGCAGCCTCTCCATGGTGCCGTCAGATGTTAGCATGGCGAGCTTGCTCACATCCTGAGAACTCAGCTGGCAGCCTGCGGCTAGGCTCATCTGGGATGAGACTCAGGTCCCTTTGCTGTTTCTGCCACATGCTCAGCTCCCCCGTCCTACTCCCCAACATTGCTATCATTCTCCTGAAGCAATCACAGTATCTCTTAGGATACTCTTACTCTTTAACTTAAGATATCTCTTATGTCTTGGCCCATCTTGTAGGAGCCAGAGATCCTAACTGGAGAAACTTGGGCTTGCTTCACAGGCCACTGGAAATGTTGACTTCTCATGAGCCAGCCTTTGTTACAATAATGAAACCTGACATTTATACAGCACTTTAAATTTTATACAGCATTTATCCCAGGGTTACTGATCAAGAGCTAGAGCTGGAAGGGACCTCAGGGCCAGGTAACTGAATCAGTAAGTCAATCAATATTTACTAAGCACCTACTTTGTGCCAGACTAGCTCGGTGATTCAGTGAATAGAGCACTGGCTGAATCAGTAAGTCAGCCAATTTAGTAAGTCCCTACTTTGTGCTGGGTTAGCTAGGTGGCACAGTAGATAGAGTGCTGGCCTAGGGTCAGGAAGACCTGAATTCAAATCTGGCCTCACACACTTACAAGTTGTGTGACCCTGGGCAAGTCATTTAACCCTATTTGCCTCAGTTTCCTGTAAAAGGAGCTGGAGAATGAAATGTCAAACCTTTTCAGTATCTTTGCCAAGAAAACCCCAGTGGGGTCACAAAGGAGCTGGACACGACTGAAAAACAACAAAAAATGTGCCAGGCTCTGTTGTGTGCTTATGTCCTGGGGATACAAAAAAAAAAAAAGGCAAAAGACAGTCCCTGTTCTTGACCTCACGGTCTAATAGGGGAGAACCATGTGCAAACCACTATGTACAAAAAAGCTATATACAGGATGAACTGGAAACAATCAACATCGTGAAGGCCCCAAGGGAGATCTGGAAAGGCTTCCTGGAGATGGTGGGATTATAGCTGGAACTTGAAAGAAGCCAGGGAAGCCATTTTACAGATGAGGCAAGCTCAGGGAGCTTAAGTGAGGTGACAAAAGTAGTAAGCACCAGAAATAGGATTTGAACTCAGGACTATTGCTCTTTTCACTGACCCATACCATCTCCCTATTATCTCATTTGATTCTCTGTATTCTTGTTTGATCTGTGTAGCGTACATTTTAAAAGAGAGAGAGAAGAAGTAAAAGTCAAAATGGAAATCTGGTTTGGTTTTTCCCTCCATCTTTCCCACTATTTTCAGACTTGTCAAAGCACCTTTTCTCTTGCTAGAGCCCCCATAATTTATTCTTCAATGATCCCAAATGGTTGGAAGCAAAGGTGCACCTTCTGTATTTTTGTGTTTTGTCTCATTAGAATGTAAGCTCCTTGAGGGCAGGGACTGTCTTTTGGCTTATATTCCCAGCACTTAGCATAGTACCTAGGATATAGTACGTGTTTAATAAATGTTTGTTGACTGACCATAGATGACCAGTGATTATGAAATGGATATGTACAATCTTGGAGGCAACCATGTGAGTTTGAAAGGAGGGAGATCCTAAGTCACTTGGGGATTAGTGGTGGCAGGGGAAGTTTCTGCATTGGAGAGGATAATGCCAAGGGTAGAAGGTGGGGCAGAGATCAATAACTGGTCAGGATTGCAAGAAGTCATGGACATGGATAGCACAGAGTTAAGGTAAAATGTATAGTGTCAATTCAGAAGTCCCACAAACTGAATGACGTTTCTAGTTATCAACCTTCTGGGAGAGTATAATACTGGTTAAAAGTTACTGAATCTTGTTTTAATTTTTTTTTCCAATGTGGGCTTATGGGTTATGTATGTTATGTATGGTTTTTTGTTTTTTGTTTTTTAGGAAATAAATAGCTATCTCATACCTGGTCCGTATTGGACATTAAGCACCTTTCTATTCTTCCCTTTTTGCTAGATGTGAGCAAACCTAAACCTTATATAATTTTCCCCTAGGGTGCTGGGCCAGGGTATAATGAACTGAAAAGTACAATAAAAGGAGTCTTATACCCTATTTTAGGTCATCTGGCTCTTCCAGCCCTGAACTTTGTCTATTTATATGCATGGGTCCAGAGGAGAGGAGCCCCTTAGTGGTGAAGGCACAACACTCCAGCTTCTTGGACCTGACTATGGCTCTAGTTGTCAGACCATGATTTTCAGTATTGTAGCATCACCAGAAGAAATAAAAATTGGCATTTAAAAAGATGGGCTTGTTTCAGGGAAAAGGTTGAGATCATCAAAAGTATCATACAGTTTCAATAATGATGATGATAGCTACAATTTATATAGGGCTTTAAGATTTGCAAAGCTCTCTTTATATGTTATCTCATCTGATATTTCAAATGTAATCCAGCCTATGGTCTTCTTCATATTTAATTCTGGTCCTACCTCACCATCCACCTGCACTTTTTGTCCAGTACCAATGCATCAATGGACCAGTTCTTTCGTCTGCCTATCAAAATGCACATCATAGTCTAGACAACAGACACATTTTATCCATTTGATTTTTCCTGTATGGATAGTTAAGCTAAAATCTGAGTGGTTATGGATATCATTTAGGATTCTATGCAACAATCCAGGTTTGATATAATCAGCACAAAATCATAAGCAAGCTTGAAGATCTGGAAGACCTTAATATCTATAGGATCCTTATTCCATTCGGGGTCTGTGCTGGACATCCTCTATGATTGTGCAAAACACCTTTGGGACAAATAACAACAATAAACATACATCTCCTTATTTTATGCTTCACATGATATTTATAACAAGTTTTTTTTTTTTGACAAACTATCTAGTACGATTTTTTTAACATATGCATGAGAAGCAACTTATTGGAGGAGAACCTTTAAGGTACCACTAAGGTTCCACTAAATTAAATGCTTTTAAAAATGTCACCAAACATCATCTTGCATTCTCTGTATCATTTAGTTAGTTGTGTGACTGTAAATATGTGGTCTACTGTAGAATATTGTTTATAAGAGTCTGCCTGTTCCTTTCTAATATTTTCACCAGGGGTGACTTTGAAATATGTCCAAATTTTAATACCAATTTTAAAGTGATGCAAAAATAGACAAATAGGTTAGTGGTTATCAGTAAATGCTCAATTACCTTTTTGGGTAGTCATAGT